AAGGGTACGTCAAAGAGAATCTAGCATTAGAAGTGTTGTGAATGATACTGAACACAGTTGATGAGCAAGTGTTCAAATGCAGCATTCTAGTAGGAACTGAAGTACAAGTCAAGGAGGAAAAAGTAGGACAGCCTTTGGAATTTTATCAGATCAGGCTTCATCTTCCCATAAATAAATTTTTTTTAGAATACTGGATACAGTTACATGCAAGTAAAAATAGCAAAATTATTTCTAAATATGTACTAATATACAAGAAACTGAGACTGGCTTTTATAATAAAGCTTTTGCCACTCCTGCATTATATTTTTTTTCCAAATTTGCAATTTTCTACTTATATGCAGATATAGCCTTAAAAGTAAACTGGCATTTTTTTCAGGCTTTATATGCATACGAAGCACAAAGTATCTTCTTATATGCAGATTCTGATTCAGTAGCTCTGAGATGGGATCTAAGATATTAAATTCCTCCAAGTTTCACAGCAGTCCTGGTCCATACTCTGATTAGCAAAGATTTAAAATTAAATTAACTCACCTTGGGTATTCCTCAAAGTAAAAAAAAAATTATATTATTTTTATTTGTATTATACACAAAAATTTTAGAATTAAATTATTTTATATACAAATTATCTTCAATTTTTTCATATTCTGATGTTTAAATAGATAATTCACCTCTTAAAACACCATGGTTCTAAAGGTCAATTGATTTATATGTAGATCCATTAATTATCTTTTATCAAAATCCTAGGATATAATTGACATCTAATTTGTTTCAAAACATAATAAACTACATAAAATACATTGTTTTGTCATCAAGTTAGCTCAATCACATATCCCAGCCACAAAAACAAATAAAATACATCACAAACAAAAATAGCAAAAATCCCGAGCTTATACAGGAACCCATTTCATTTAGTTCTAGGACTCATATTGACTGAATTTAAGTAAAAAAAAATTAGTAGTATGTCTCCTGACACTCCAAATGTGTTTTCAAAGAGCTTATTTGGGGGATAATTTGCATAACATAAAATTTACCTCCTTTAAGTATGTAATTCAATGATTTTTAGTAAACTTAATGGAATTACACAACTGCTACCAAAGTAAAATTTATAACAGTTCAAACATCCCCCTTAAAGAAACCTCATGCCCATTTCTTGCCTAAATACATGCTGTCAAAAATGTTAAATCTCCCAACATTATTTAATCTAAGGTCAATATTAAACTAGGTCAATATTCCAAACAAAATTTGCTTGATTCAAAAATCTATTGCTCAAAAGCCAAAAAATAAGTAACAATACCTAGCAAAGTACAGGCCTGTCTGGTATGTGCCATCTCCTTTGAATCATCAACTCCTTCAATCACAGGACTGCCACCTTGCTTCGTGTAATGAAAGCTATTTGCATTTCCTATAATTAAGGAAAAAGAAAGGATTTGTAGTTTATGAAAGTCTTAACTTTTATTCCTATGGCCACTTTTATTTAGAAACACTGATAGTACAGTTTAAGTGTATGGTGTGGATCTGTGTTTCGATTATATCTTAATATAAAACTTTAAAAAATGAAGTGAAATATTTGTAGGTTACTTGTTTTAATTGGTGAATGAACAATCCTTTATGAGTAGGTTTTATTCAACCTATGTAACTTCTTCAATGTAGGATCATTTTTATCAGAGTTAACTCCCCTCATCAGAAACCCTACATGCCTCCAACACAGAAACACCCTAAATTTGTTTTATTTTAATCAAGGTAAATCCCAAACATATACAGAAGAAGAAAAACTAATATCATGAGCCCCTATGTATTCAAAATTAATCTTAAACAAGCATTAACTAAAGGCCAATTTTGTTTCATTTATATAACTACTCACTTCTTCCTCATCGGCTATGTTTTTTTTTAAGCAAACTTCTTATCATTTCATCCATAAAAATTTCAGTATGAGACAATCTCTTTTATGACGAGTAAGTTTATAACTTCAGAAATTAACAAAAGCCAATTTCAGCACAATTAAGTCTCACATCATATTCATACCTAATCGCAGCATTTTAAATTCAGGTAACTTTGCTGAAGCACAAAGCTGATAGAAGATATGATAGTTTCTCTCCTCTTCTGCCTTTGAAATAAGAAAGAGTTTTCAATTATAGCATTTTAATCCAAAACTCAGGAAATTCAAACATAAAGTAAAAATATTAAATTTAATATTTAATTATCTCAGTTGGTAAAAATGAATTCTTACCAAATTTCCCAGTACATATTTATGATTATTAAGTCTAATTACTTTTTAGCTCTGTGAATGTGACTATATATTGTTTGGTCACCTTCATATAAAACATCTGAAGAGTAATGATTTTTGAACTGGTGGACAACTTTATATGTAACATTGCCAGACAAGAGCTGTATCTTTAGGGAAAACTAAAACTATTTTTGTGTAACATAATACTATTTTCTCACATTCCTTCTTAGATTACCCATACTTTGATTGAAAAAGAATACCCCATTTTTCCCATCTATCAGATTGGACCATCTACTATGGGTGTTGCAAGAATGCTGCACATGTACTTTATCATTTTAGTTTATATATTTTGAAATCAATAGAAAATGAACCACATGCAATTCTGACATCATTTCTTAGTATTTTCTGGAAGTGTTTTTCTATATATAAAGTATTTTCCACTTATAGATGAAAAAGGACAAAAAGCAAATGTGAAAATGCCAAGCCTGCATGGATGCATAGACTTGCATATGTCTTTGATAGTAACTCACAACTGGGCTTTTCAGTGAATACGTTTTAACCCTCATTAGTTTACCTAAACAATACTGTATCTAAGAATAGAAGAGAAGGAAAAGGACAAGGACAAGGAAAATTGTTTTCTTGAACTGAGCTCAAATTATAGCTCACTGAAGGCATAGATCAATGTTTGCCTATCAGCTGGGAAATACCAGAGACAAGATGAAACTAATTAAGATCTCTCTTCTTAACTAAGTTTCTTCTATAAGCAACTGTAGGAAAGTCAAAACCACTAAACCTGTGCTTAGTCCCTTAGTCTAATAGGCATTTCCCTGCCTCTAGGAGGCACTTCTTCACATGTTTCAGTCCAAAGAAAGTTTGTACTAATATTGCATTAAAATGACTAAAAGTATCTGGAAATAAAACTCCATAAATATAGGTTCTGAAATTATATAACATCTAACACAGTATTTATGTGTACACATGTTCAGCTTACCTGGAACACTACTCTGGATTTCTCTAAGAGGTAAGTTCTCATGTTGGCACCAATAATTCGATATCTTTTATCAAAACCAATCTCAATATATTTTCCAAAACGGCTGCTATTGTCATTCCTGGTTGTTTTAGCATTTCCAATTGACTAAAAAGCAAGGAAAAAAAGTAAGACTTTACAAGTATAATTCATAACGTGACACAGAATTTGTTCAGGGAAAGCACAGAGTCTACACAATCCTTTAAAAAAACTGATTCTTTTAAAAACAGAACCATATTTGCCACTGCAGGCTTCATCCTTTGCACAGCCACACAGATATACTTAGTAGTTTGTATCTGCCTTGTAATGTTCACATAAATCATCTTCAGACATACAAAATCTTGAGTTCAACAGTGGGGAGGTTTTCGTTTATAACATTCAAACACCCTAGATCCTGCCCGCACATGAACCGATAAAGAAGGAACTGGCAAGGCACAAGCCCTCTTAAACATCAGTGTTTGGATTTCTTGAAAAACTTAACATCAGTTTTTATGTAAATAAGTTGATTAAGACAAGTTAATATTTAATATTTCCTGGAAATGTTGCTTTGTTGTTCAGGGTCTCTGGGTCTCTTTAGCCTATGTTTCTGCCATCTTCTCCTACGACAATGAAGGCCCAGTTGGACCACTTTTTAGAAGATCATTATTAATGACACATTCAATTCATAGCCATTTCCAGAGACAGAAAAACCTAGTTTTGGAGTTTGATATTTGCATCTAACTTGCAAAAATTATGATACAGAAGGCAAAGGATATAACTTTCTTCTTTTAAAAATAATCTTAAAAATCAAAATGGCATATGTACTACTTTCAGATTTAGGTAACATGCTTATATAAACGTTTCTTTCAAGGCAAAGCAAAAAATATGCTATAGTCAGAAAAGCAAGTTTTAATATGATGCATATATAGAATATTAAGATAATTTCATGTAAGACTAGTATTTTCACTTGTGCCAAGCATGTGACTATTGGATTAGTAATGAAACTGTAACAGAGAGAAAGATATGAAAACGCTCTGGAGTTAAAAAGCAATGCAAATAGCCACAAAAGTCAATATCTTCAAATCTCTGATCAAACAAAATACATTTTCACTCACTGAAATACAGGGTAGGTACTGCCCTTTTTTTTTTTTTTTATTTTGGCAGTAAGGACACTGCTGTATTACATATGAACATTTTAAAGAATGCATAGCATTGTTTGGCAGTTTGGCCAAACAATGCTATACTCAGTGAGCCCCAGTAAATAGGCTAGGCTTGAAAGAGACCCCTCTGTCTTTCAGTGAAAAACTTTCCAGTAAGTTACCGAGAGTAGTTGAAGATGATTTACAGACATTTATCTACATATTCTCTTCTCTGATTTTACCAAAGGGGGGGAAAAAAGTTCCCATATATTCTCATTATTTTTATTTTGTTTAGAAAAGGAAATTTATAATAAATGCAGAGTTTTTTCTCAATACAACATCTTCTTGTCATAGAGCAAATGAAGGGTCACGTGCAGCAGGTGTATGGTTACCGAGTGCTTTCCCATCACTGTCCTAAGCTCTTTCCTGCCAGCAACCAAGCAAGTAGGGCAGGTGGGCCACAGCTTCCCCTCCTTCCTGACTCTTCTCTCACCTTTCATATAGCATCTCTCCCCCATCTACTCAGTGGGAGTCTGGGTAGCCAACCTGCCAAACAATGCTATACTCTGTGAGCCCTAGTAAATAGGCGAGGCTTGAAAGAGACCCCTCTGTCTTTCAGTGAAAAACTTTTAAATATACAGCAAAAAAACTGGTAGAAGGAAAAAATAGAAGTCTAAAGATCCAGAGATCAAACCAGATCCTGCACCAACTTACTATCCTCTAAACAAGGAACACTAATCTTCCTGAGTATAAGCTGATGAATATAGATCTCTTGCATCTTTTTTTTTTCATTATTAGATAATTCTAAGTTTTGAAACTGATATGGGAAAAAGGTTATCTATAGAGGGTAGACTTTGTCCATCCCCCAAGTGCTCTCATTGGTAGTGTAATTACAACAACCTCCCTTACTACTATTTTCATTTCAATAGCAAATTGCTAAAGGAAAGTTAAATTTGTGGTCTTAATTTTACTGATTTCAATGAAATGTTGAGTGAGTTACTCTTTCTTCGAAAGAGATGAAAATTTTCAGCTATAGTTACTGAAGATGAAAAAGAACTATTAAACCTCATTGGACCTGAAAAATCTTCCCTGTTCCCATCATAGACTGTTAAGTCTCTTGGAGAGAGTAGAGAAAAAGAAAATGTGATAAAAAAAGCAAAAAAGAATCATTTCTCTGTGCATTTTTATTTTGCAAAAGGAGCCTATGCTGAGGACAGAAGCTTGCTTTCTAAAGAATAACGTGCATATCCCATTAGCCACTGCGCTGAGATGTGAGCCCTGCAAAATGGTCCCAGTGTGATGAAGAGTCAGCAGCTCACTGGAGACCCAGAAAGGTTTACATCACAATGAAGAGCCTGATAAAGAGACATAATCTTGAAACTGACTTCCAGCTATGAATTTTCTATACTACATATTCAATATTTCACCTATAATTTTCTCCTGTAGTATAAATCCTTGTCACCCTTTTCAGCCCCATATTCCCTTTTAATCTTTCAAATTGGGATGCCCTCACTTGTAGTTGTATTAAGGTAGCTTTCTTTTTTCCAAAATTTTCTTAATTTCTTAATTCCTACAGAGAAACTAAACAATAACACAAAAGAAAATAGTTAAGCATAACCCATATCTAATCTTTTGTTCATCCAGGTAAATTCCTCATAGTTACATGTTAAAAAACAGTATCTGTACTACTCTACCTTTTTAATGTCACTGAAATCTGTACTAATAAAAAGCCTGTTGTAGCTGCTTTTTAAAAAATAGGTATAGCAAAGTGATAAAAATAGCTCATTCAATTCAACTTGATATAGTCCAGAAGGTTCATTCCAGACTTAGAAATTTATGTGGCCTCGACCTAGGAGAGACAGGATACCTGGTGCCACCACAAGACTTTTGAATATTCTATCATTAGGGACTAGAATGTCCCACACCATTGCAAATACCAAGAATTTGCTGTCATGACTAAATGCAATGAAAACAATGGTAGGATACCAAATATGTTGATATCTGACACAAAACTCAGCATTAGCTTTACAGCTTTATAGCCCCAATACTAACAACAGTGACATCCACTATTGTATCTGTAACTTAAATTCTTTCAAAATCTTAATATTTGCTTTAAGTCATAGCTATTATTTTTTGGCCCAAACATCGGTCTTTTCCTGTCCATGCTATTTCAGAAAACTTCTCCAGCTCTCTTTCCAAAGTGTACCCAATCCAGGAGGCCTTTAACTACCCCACTACATCTTGTCCCCTTGATCCCAAGAACAGAAGTCCTGCTGCTCCAGTGAGCAGCCCTGCAAAGGATCATTGCATTGAAGTGTCACACACAGCACTGCAAACCAGGCACAATTACCTCGGGACTGATTATTGCAAAAACCATTTGTACCACAGGTGCACCACAGGCCCGTTCTAAACTCCATCTGTTTGGGTGACACATAAGGCTTGACAAAGGGAAAAAAAAGAAATAAAAGTTGCTGATTTGAACTTTTAATAAGAAAGGTTTGTTTTCTGCATGTCCAAATGAATTTCCCTCCATCTAATAAACTTTTTCTCCATTTAATGGAATTATAATCCTATTAGGAATATGTGTTTACTAAAACCATATAAGTATGTAAATAATTCTCTAGCTATACAACCTAAAACACTAAAATTCTCATACAAATAGGACTATTTCCTGTGGCATAAGCACAAGGAGACACAGTTACTAGTCAATATGTAGGAGAAAAGAAACTTTAGAAAATGAAGTGTCACTGTAAGCAATTTAGAGGCCACAATTAATGCCAAGTTAAAAATACAGTGTTATAGGTTAGGTAGATTCCTCTGCAGCTGAATCTTACTCAAAAAAAAAAAATATCTATCTTAGTAAATCTTTACTTTTTCTAATGCTCCCTAACATGTGAAAATATTTTCTTATGTTTTGAGGCTGGACACCCTCAACTTTCTAACAAATGCTATATGTCAATCAATTTTTAGCATGTTTATTTTTTTTAATTATTAATTTATGCATACAGAACTGGGATATGGGTCAGGGGTATAGGGGTAGTAAGGGGATCCACCAGAGACAGAGTGGGGAGCAGAACAGGCAGATCGATGAAGTACACTGCTGAGGGGAGCAGCGGGTGCTCAGGAGAGGTCTGCTGCACCATGTAGGTCAGCTCCTTGGCTGGAGATTGAATTCTTGATGGAGCACCTGCAGCTAGGAGAGTCCAATTTTAGTATGTTTCTTAACAAGAGAATATAGTGAGGCCAAGGGTGTGGTTGTCTTACCTCCATGATGGGGTTGGATGCCAAGACCTTTTCCTCAACATTAGCTTCACTGGCAGAACCACTGACAGTTGCAAAGTATCGCATGGCATATTTAGCTGAGACTGTTTTTCCTGCACCAGATTCTCCACTTACAATGATAGACTGATTTCGTTCATCTCTATAAAACAAAGAAAAGAAACCAACAGTGCCACCCACTTCTGAATGTGACTAACATCACGTCCTCTGTGTTCTGAGCTATGGTGAGTTTCTGCTGGTTCATACATGTAACAAATATAGGAACATAACAATGATAATCCCTCTATCTAAATTAAGAACAAGAAACAGAAATCTTTATAAAATAACTACACTAAGTTTTATAAAGTGTTTTTAATGTTTGTGTGTGTGTGTGTGTCATTCTTATTGGAGTGACATTGTATTTCACTGTAATTTTATTTTGCACAGATGACACTGAACATCTTTTCATGAGCTTATTGGTCATTTGTGTCTTTTTTATGAATTAGATATTTTTTCTTACATTGTTGTAGTCCTCATAGTTCTCCTGCCACAGTAACACTTGTGAACCATCGCCATATTCCCTTGTGTTCACCCCTGTCCTTTCTGCCCCCAGTGCCCCTCCTTTGCTGTATGCCTCAGTTTCACAGTCAGTGTTCTTCAGTCATGTTTGTGAAGGAAGAAATGCATAAAACCAGACCAAATGCAGAAAAAGAAGTGGAGAACCAAGGAGAGCCTCAGAAGGGAGAAGGGTGTAACAGAAAACAGGCTGACAAAGGACAAAACAAAATAATATAACAGGGAGGGAAAAAAACAAAAAAAATCAAGAATAAACATGCGTATGTCTTCAAAGTGAGTATCAGAGCTTAACCTCTTCCATTTGAGCTGTAGGCTTCAAATCATTATGTAAACATATGCAAATAATAACATATAAAAAAATTCTTTGAAATTTTAATTAGCTAATCAGCCACTATTCATAATCCTCCTGGTGCTTTTGTCCTAGCATTACAAGAATACTCTTTCTACTCTTGAGATGCAGACAACACTTTAAGGGCCTGATAAAGCCAAGTTAAGGAACACAGATTCTCCACTTCTAATCAAGGACAGATCAAATTAGAACATCCTATAGATGTATGAATCAAAGCTTTTAAGATTTGAGGATAGGCAAATCCTCTCAGGGTACTCTACAGAAGTCCTAAATATCATAGCCCTGAGTGCCTTGGAGCACAGCTGAGTTCCTCTACTGTGCTTCAATCAGTGGCAGTTCCAGAAGCTCTACTGTGAGCAAAAATCCCACCTAAAAACACTGCTTCAGTCATTCATCCAACAAACAAGTCAGGAGCAGTCACAATGTACCAAACACATGATAAAGGTAAAGGACTAAGGTGTACTGAAAGAGTGAAAAGCACACAGTTGAAATATAGTAGAGTGACTCCTAGAAAAGAAAACTATTGAGGATATTATGGTAGCATGGAGAAATAGGTGGGAGATACAAAATGGAATGACAGGAAATGCTTTCTAGAGTAGGTAATGTTTGAATTGACTCTTACACAGTAACCAGGAGAAAACCAATAATGTGGGAGGAAGGAAATAGGAATTAAGACTATGAAAAGGCACCTCAAACTTTGGGAAAAAATTATTCAAAGGCAAAATGTCCACTCTCAGTAATGAAAGCAGGAGATGTTACACTTTAGTCTATTTTCCCTTTATAGTAATTCAGGGAAACATAGTCTATTTTCCCTCTATAGTAACTGGATCTCTGCAACCAAATGTGAGATGTATTATTGTATAAGTGTCTTCTGAATTTTACCCTTTAAAAAATGTAATCTCTCCAGTTTATCAGGGTCAGATTGAATGCTGTTGTTATCTTTTAAGACCATTAAGCTTTGTAAATTCTAGGTCTAATTTTTTTAGTTTACAAATAAACACTGTATAAAACACAATCTAGAATTTTGCTTTCTCATAAGCAATTAAAACAACTGTTTCTCCCTTTATTTTATCCCTTTAAAAAAGAGCAAATACTAAAAAAAAAGAGCAAATACTTCTCTTTATTCCACATGTAAATGAAGTCATGTAATATTTATCTTTTTCCTTCTGACTAATTTCAGCTAGCATAATCCTTTCTCACTCCATCTATGTTGCTGCAAATGACATGAGTTTGTCTTTTAAGTAAACAATTAAATAAAGCAAAGGCTAAGCTAACTTAATATAATTCTTACTTTCAAAGCTGTTTTACCATGATTTCATATACAGTTTTAATCCCTATCTCTCCCATTATGCAAAACATGAGTAACTCATCAAAATCAAGCTACTCTGAAATAAGTCAGACCAAAATGACAAGTCCTGTATGATATCACTCATATGTGGTATAATGAGAAAATAAACTGAAGAATGAACTAAATAAAACAAAAATAAACTTTAAACTATAGGACCAATTAGTGGTTACCAGAAGGAAAGGAGGAAGAGGGTGGGTAAATTGGGCCAAGTTCATAGTGAAGGACAGAATTAAGCTTTTACTCAAAAATTTTGTGTATAGTATGTACAATACTGATCTTTAATGATGCATACCTGTAACTAATGTAATGTTACAATGTAAAGTTACTTCAATAAAAAACACAGAAACATAGCTTAGTAGTTGTTGAGTACAGGGGGAGAGCAATTGCTAGTGGTATAGTCTCTTCTCAAGGTGATAAAAATGTTCTAAACCTAGGTGGTTGTAATAATTGCCAAATTTTGTAAATTCTGTACTAAAAATCATCCAAATACACACTTTAAAAGTACGTTTTTGGCATGTGAACTATAGTTCAATGAAGATTTTTAAAATATATTTTACCATGTTTGTATGATTTCTGCTTTAGATCCCAAGATCAATACCAGGAAGAAAAAACTTAAATTCTAAAATTGATACTAGTTTACAATGAAAATACCTAATATTATTTTTGAAGTGTAAATATGTACTATAAAATAGTGTGCTAACACACTAATGAAAGCTTTAGAGGGGTAGAAAGACTATTTGTGAAATAAAATAAGTATTGCCTGCAGATATATACTAAATCATTCAATTCCTGGTAAGAAACATGGCTATCAGCTCTTTACCTTCTTTAAAAGCCAGTAAGACTCTTCAAAGAAATAGAGTACTAATAAGATTCTTATGGAACCAAAAAAAAAAATCTCATACTGATGAGATTCATATGGAACCACAAAAAATCTCAAATAGCCAAAACTACTCATGAATAAAAAGACAATGGAGGGATCACATTCCCAGATTTCAAGCTATACCACAAAGCCATAATAATCAAAATTGCATGGTACTAGAACAAGAACAGACACACAGACCAGTGGATTTGAATAGAAAACCCATATATAACACAGGTTTATGGGCAGCTAATCTTTGACAATGGAGCAAAGAATATACAATGGAACAAAGTTTGTTCAACAAATGGTGCTGGGAAAACTGGGAAGCTACATGCAAAAAAAATGAAACTAGATCACTACCTCACACCATGAACAAAAACAACTCAAAGTGGATTAAAGACCTAGACATAAGACCCAAAACCAAAAATGGGTGAAACACTGCACGACATACACCTCAGTAACATCTTTAAAGATACAGCACCAATGCAA